TACTCATGGCCTTAAGTGTCAAGTGGCACCGCAGGCTGTATTCAATGCAGACAAAGAGCCAGTGGTTGAAGTTTTCGGATGTGGTCGCGGCAAGCGAAAAACTGTCGGGCTTCGGGGTCATCTAGCAGATCCGTCTGATGTCTCAGCAACGAGAAAGCTTTGCAGGGGAATCCTGCAACGTACACCGCGACCTCGCAACCAAGACCAAACTCATGCCAAAAGGATGCCCATCGAAAGATGCGGGTCCAGAGAAGCGGCCTTGCCAGCAAGATGCCCCAGCTTTCGTCCAAAAAGATCCTTTGCGATCCTCAGTGTCTAGAAACAGTAACAGCAAGTGACGCCTTAGGTTAGGAGTTAGGATGTATTTCGAGGACTGGGACTCATGATGCTAACAAGTCACGGGACACCGGGCATATTTCGCTGAATCCACTTCTGCGGCCCTTTGGCATAGTCGCAGGCAGACCTAAGTTCATCATTTCACAATACCCTGACGGTTACCCTGACACTGACACCACATCGTGCAACTTGGCGATCAATCTGCAATCAAGACACACCAGCTGAAACTTCTTGGCACCGACGGCAGCTTCGCTGAGCATGTCCAGCGCCAGTGTCGGAGTTTCTGCACCGGAACCTCAGATGCTTCGGCCCATGCACGCACGGCCCCCCACCCCAAACAGACACATCTCTGGCGGGAAATCCGCCAGCGGCAGGGGGTGCCGCTTGCTAAGGCGAAGATCCGCCAGCGGCAGGGGGTGCCGCTCTTAGTCCTGGTCTCACTGTTCTGCCTCTCTCGCTCTCTCTCTCTCTCTCTCTCTCTCTCTCTCTCTCTCTCTCTCTCTCTCTCTCTCTCTCTCTCTCTCTCTCTCTCTCTCTCTCTCTCTCTCTCTCTCTTCCTCCCACGAGATGACTGGGTTCCCCGCACTCCGTCACCAACGGGACGCCGCCGTCGGGCAACTGCTGGAAGAAGTCCTTCAGGTCGCAGCGGTCCACGAACAACTCCCCGTACTCGAGATGCAGCTTTTGCGTAACTGTCAGCATCGGGGTCCTGGAGGAAGAGCAGCTGGTAGACGTAGACGAATCGTTGACACTGCTGCTGCTGCTGTAGCTGCTATCAGTGCCCTCGTTGCTCGAAGCTCCGCTGCGGCTGGGATCCATTCGCCAAGTAGGCATTAGGGCTTAGGGTTTAGGGTTTAGGTTTTAGGGTTTATGGTTTAGGGTTTTAGGGTTTAGGGTTTAGCTAACCAATGGTTTTGGGGGTTTCCTGGGCTCTTTAGCTCCTTATTTAATAGGGATTATCATCATCCTTGGCTCCTTAGCTCCCATAATATCAATGGTTAGTTAGGGTTTAGTCGGCACCTCGGTTCCTGGCATATGCATAGTCCAGGTGTAAAAGGGTTTAGGGTTTAGGGCTAAGTAGTCAGACTATAGGTCCTCAGGTCTGAAAAGACGTTCGACTGAAGAGCGGTTTGTGCTGGTTTGCTGCGACGGCTTCGGAGGATTAGCTCTGTCTGTGTCTGGATCACAGCGGTTTGTGGTGGTTTGCTGCAACGGCTGAGGATTAGCTCTGTGTGTCTGGATCACAGCGGTTTGTGGCGTGGTGGTTTGCTGCGACGGCTTCGGAGGACTAGCTCTGTCTGTGTCAAACTCCACTGACATGTCTTGGCACTTGAGCCAGAACTCCTGCGAGCAAAAGCATGCCACAGCCACTCCGCAAACAGAAGATTTCCGAACTGGTGCAGAAGTGGTGGCAGAATGCACCGAGCACCCGGCTGAATTTGTCCGGGTCTGGCCTGAGCACACAAACGGGAGGAGCACACAAACGGCAACACAGAAAGACAAACTGCAAACTGAACTGCAGCACGCACCTTTTTCAAGACCACCAGGGTTTCCCCCAGTTTCGTCCGCCTCGCCGGCGCTTCCTCCCCGTCTCCAACAGTGTTTGTCGCCTGTTTGACAACGGGGGGCCAAAAGGGATGCCTTCTTCTTGAAGGCCATCCCCAAAAAAAGGGATGCCTTCTTCCTGAAGGCCATCCCCAAAAGCGATGCCTTCTTCAAGAAGGCCATCCCGCGGCACCTGCAGGTCCACTCACAAACAACATTATGATTGTATTGTATTTTCAGGGAGTGGGCTATGAAAAGTCTCTGGCGCCTCCTCCTGGTCCAAGCGGACCGGGGCCGGTGCGGCCCCATCTTCATCTTTCGAATCCTCCTCCGAGTCCTCAAGAGCATGATCTTATGATGATTTTGATGTGTTCCGGGCGTGGGCAATGACAAATCTCTGGGGCCTGCTTCGGCTCCAACAAGTTCGGGGCCGGTGCGGCCCCATCTTCATCTTTCGAATCCTCCTCCGAGTCCTCAAGAGCATGATCTTATGATGACTTTGATGTGTTCCGGGCGTGGGCAACGAAAAATCTCTGGGGCCTGCTTCGGCTCCAACACGTTCGGGGCCGGTGCGGCCCCATCTTCGTCTTTCAAAGGCTCCTCCGAGTCCTCAAGAGCATGATCTTATGATAATTTTGATATATTCCGGGCGTGGGCAACGAAAAATCTCTGGGGCCTGGTTCTGCTCCACCACGATCCGAGCCGCTGCGGGCTTTTCTTTGTCTTTCAAGGGGTCCTCATCATGATTATGCTGTGTTCGGGGCGTGGGCAACGACAAATCTCTGGGGCCTGCTTCTGCTCCAAGACGATCGGGGCCGCTGCCTTCTGCTCCAACACGTTCGGGACCGGTGCGGCCCCATCTTCATCTTTCAAATCCTCCTCCGAGTCCTCAAGAGCATGACGTTATGATAATTTGATGTGTTCCGGGCGTGGGCAACGAAAAAACTCTGGGGCCTGCTTCTGCTCCACCACGATCGGGGCCGCTGCGGGCTTTGCTTTGTCTTTCAAGGGCTCCTCATCAGGATTATGACGTGTTCGGGGCGTGGGCAACGACAAATCTCTGGGGCCTGCACCTGCTCCAAGACGATCGGGGCCGCTGCGGGCTTATCTTCGTCTTTCAAAGGCTCCTCCGAGTCCGGCTTGTCCTTGAAGAAGAGATATCATGAATATGATGTGTTTCGGGCTTGGGCAACGAAAAATCTCTGGGGCCTGCTTCTGCTCCAAGACGATCGGGGCCGCTGCAGGCTGTTCTTCGTTTTTCATAAGCTCCTCCGGGTCCGGCTTCTCCTGATTATGATGATTACAAGGCGTGGGCTACAAAACAACATCTCTGGGGCCTGCTGCTGCTCCAAGACGATCGAAACCGCTGCGGGTTTTTTTACATCTTGCAAAAGCTCCTCCGGGTCCAGCTTCTCCTGCGACAATGCGTGAGGAGCCGGGATGATGTGTTCAGGGCTCGGGCTCAAACATATGATCTGGGGCCTGGCCAACTTCCGGTTGCTCCTGCAAGAGAAACGGATATAATCAGAATGGGACGGAGGAGCAAACACTAGGCGAGCCCGCCTGACGATCCCCCGGGGGAAGTTTCCATGCCTCCAGGAGGGGCAGCTATGGGGCACGAATCAGTTCATGCTTGGGCGATCGCCTTCGTTAACTCCTCGAGCTCGGGATCTGAGAACACGACGACCCCCGGGCCCGGCTCGGACGGGAGCGGATCAAGGGTAGACCTCCGTGATCTCTTCCAGTCGTCCCCTGATGCCTCTACAGCCACTAGCAGAATTAAGACCTTGTGACAAACGAGACAACCCTGGGCCTGTTCCTGGTCCATATCTGACGTCGGAGACAGAAACACTGGAGTCGGAGAGTGCCTCGAAGATCTCGGTGACGATACCTTGAATGGCGAGGCTTTGAGGACTTAATTTTATCAGAAAATTGAAGAACATTCGCCTCGCTCGGTGAATTCGCCGCGCTCGGGGCGATGCTGGTAGCGCTCTCTGTCTCCTTGGTGCTCCGGACTGCAAGACTGCCTAGCATAATTCACACGGCCTGGCCTCCTCTTGCCTCGATTCAGCAGCCTTCTTCTCAGCTGCCTGTCGGCGGGCGTGATCAAGGATGCTAATCATAGGTTTTCTCACGGCCTGGCCTCCTCTTGCCTCGATTCAGCAGCCTTCGCAGCTGCCTGCCTGGACAACCTTTTGGCGTTTCTTAAACAACAAGTCGATTATTTTTCAGGCAAAGAAACAACAGACAAGCAGCAATAAACAAAAGAAACAACAAGTTGTAACTTTACATCAAGGTCCATGCTTTGGGCTTAATTAATAATAAGTATATAAATAACAGTCGCACTGCTTCGAATCTGGTTTCGGTGTTTATAGGGTACATGGGCTTCTGCAAACAATTGCCTACGGCTCTCGGTGCTTAGGGCTACGGGGCTTCTGCAGACAATACGGCACGGTGCAGAGCTGCGGGGGGCTTCTGCACATACAATTGCCTACGGCTCTCGGTGCTTATAGGGCTACCGGGGCTTCTGCGCAAACAATTAACTACGGCTCTCGGTGATTAGGGCTATACGGGGGGCTTCTGCATACACTTGCCTACGGCTCTCGGTGCTTAGGGCTATGGGGGGCTTTTGCACAAAGAATTGCCTTCGGCTTCGATGGCTCTCGGGCTTCGGGTGCTTCTGCAAATGGACAACCAACCAAGCACAACGACCGACCGACCAAGCGAACAAGCACAGCAAGCCTTCAAGCACAACCAACCAAGCACAACGACCGACGGACCAAGCGAACAAGCACGGCAAGCCTTCAAGCACAGCATGCTTTCAAGCACAACCAACCAAGCACAACGACCGACCGACCAAGCGAACAAGCACAACAAGCCTTCAGGCACAACCAATCAAGCACAACGGTCGACCGACCGACCAAGCAAACAAGCACAGCAAGCCTTAAGCACAACCCAAGGCGCCCAATCGACCAAGCGAACAAGCACAGCAAGCGCAATCAACCAAGCACAATCGACCGACCGACCAAGCGAACAAGCACAGCAAGCCAGCACAACCGACCGACCGACCGACCGAAAAACAAGCCAACCGACCAAGCAACGAGTTAAGCGTGCGTGTGTCAGACATGGTGCACAAGCCAACCTTTTTCACTCTGCAGACGGCGCCACATCATGGATCTCTTCAAGATATATCGAGCACTCCACGCCATCAACATAGTTCGCGGATGGGAAGCGTGGGCACAAGATCTCATGAATTTCATGAAATCTTCTTCTGCAAAGTTTGCGAAGAACATGGGGTTGATAGCATTGCGTTCAATGTCAGATATCAGGTGACACAAGTAATGGTGTTTCGGCCTCACTTTGTACAGAGTTTGCTTGCGAAGCAAGCATTGCCGAGCCATCCTTTGCCAGAGTTCCAGGTGCAATTGCAGCAAAGCAGTGCCTTGAGAGGCTTCATGTCGAGCGAGAAACGGTCGTTGGCCTTTGCCGAAGAGCGACAAAGCGGAATCCAAGGACCAGAGCATAGCGGCACGAACTTGATTCCAGTGAATAAAGTCAGCATCTGCAGTCCACGGCACGGCCCGCTCCTCATTGGGTAGGATATATATATATATATATATATATATATATATATATCTATCTTTCACCATGCCATTTAGGAAAACAAGCGATATGGCTGATGCAGTTCAAGTACTACGTCAATGGCAAAGTGTGTCACAAACGCCAGCAAGTTCCTCGTTCGAGATGCTTTGATGCGTGACGACAGCTCAGGGTAGTTGGCGCTGTCCGATTTGCCCAGCGATGCCACCGTCAGCGGCTTGATGTGGACGTCCAGGCGACGGTCACGAGCCCACAGCTTGGCGCGTGCAGTAAAAGTAAACAGGACATTGTCGAACGGTGTGTCAGAAGCCATGCCCAGGAACTCATGCATCTGACCTGGACGATTCGAAAGCACAAATGATAGCAACTTCTAAACCCCATGACATGCAGCAAACAAACCCACGTCACAGCTTACCATGCTCCGAGATTCGGCTTTCCAACGTTTCCCAGAGGACACTGCCAATGAGGTCCCGCAAGATGCCCAGATGGGCAATGTGCATTACTCGGCTGCAGAGGCACCACATTAGTTGTTAAAGCAACTCTTTCAATCTCAGTCCTACACCGTTTACCAGCCAATCATACTGCAAGTGGGAAGCTGTCGAAAGCGCGTCTGTGTTTGTGAAAGCCAGGGATCACCTTCCATGGAGTGTGCTCCTCTGTGGTACATGCTTGCCTCGGTTCCAGGGTTCGTCGCCAGTTGGCAGCCATCGTAAAGTCAGCGTAGGTGAGGCCACGAAGTCTTTTCTGGGCAAGGCAAAGGTCGCAACAGTTGTTGGTCAAATAATTCCTTCTCAACCGGTGGCTGAGCATGTGGGCTTCCTGGTCACCCTTCCACCACGAGAAGATGGCACGTTTGTCGCCCATGATCGGGGTTTTTGCCCTCTTGCCCCTGAAGCTGTTTTCTGGGAAAACCACGTCCAAATGGTCGCGATCTGCAAAACATCCAGTTTTCAAGGATCTCAGGTCCCACTCAAGCACAGCCAGCACTGCCTCTCGTGTTTTGGCGCAGATGCGACTGGAAGGCAAGCCAATGAAGCAATGTCGCGACAAGAGGGATCCCTTTTCGTTCAGGGGCACAGACCAGCTCCAGAATGCCGCAGACTCATCATGATAATTTGGCACGGCGTCTTCGTGCCAGACCATGGGGTACGTCAGGTGCAGCGGGTGGTCCTTATGAGCAGAGAGGTACACCTCATCTGTTTCTCCTCAGTGTGTCGCCCACGGACTCAAGCATTTGTGTTATACGGGGGTTCAGGGGTCTGTGGCTAGATAGGTAGATTGGTCGATATGTTTTCTTTTAGAAAAAAATAAACTACTTTAAAGTTGCGGAGTTTCTGGCCCACCACTCTTCCAAGCTTCCCAGCCCCAGAAAAATTTCAGACTCCAGGCCTCGAGCGTGTATTTCATGGAAGACATCAGATGGCAGCACGAAGCAAACCTCCTCGTGAACCAAACTTCTGGTTTGATTCTGGCCGGGTCTCCCAGAGCTGAGCAGCGGCAGCTTACATCTGTATCCACGGAAAGGGAGTTGTATCCAGCGCCACATGTCTCTTTCTCTCGTGCTCCTTGAAAACTGTCGATTTGCGACACCACGTGCACCGTCACAGACAAAGGCTGCGGCAATCTTAGCGGAGTCGTGAATCGACATGGCACCAGACCCCACACGTTCTGCCAACACTTCCGCTCCACGGCCATCCATGTCGTCTGTCTTCCTGATCAGCTCTGTACAGGGGTGGCAAGTGCCAACGCCCTGAAAGAGATGTGGAAGTAATGCGGTTGAGACTCATTCGTCGATGTTGTTGCTTCCTGCAGCAACCATGCAAAATTTATGCTGAGCGTAGCTGTGGACAAAAGCATTATTGCAACTCCCCATAATTGATTGCATGTTCTGCTGGCAGCTGGCATGACCGCGGACTCCAAGTTCGGAGCTGCACTGCACGAGGTGGACGCACCGTACCTGCGACAGGATATATAATAGGACGAGATTGTGATCGATCGTGCGACGCGAGACCGAAGGCAACAACGCAGCTGTCAGATTTTTTGTCACAATAGCCGCTGAACTATAGCAAAAGTGTGCAGGATTCTGCAGGCATCGGAGCAGGATCTGTCTTGGCCATGACGACATGCGCAGCAACGCAATATTCATTGGTATCATTGCGGCTCCCTAGAAGGGGCCGGGTCAAATTCTATTTCCTGGATTGAGGGGGCCGGGGCCTCAGCCCTGGAGGCGAGGCCCCACACTAGAGTAACATGGACAAGATTGCATCCCTGCCACGTCTGCCAGACAGCACCCGTGACCCGCACGACACCTGCGCTGCCGGGAGAGGAGGCCTCATGCCCGGCAGAGACGAACCAAAACAAGCGAGGGTTTCACTGCTCCTTTGGAGCACCCTTGCGTTTCTTGTTGGATCCCTGCTTATTGGCCGGTTTCATGGTCGCTGCTTTTGTGAGGCTTTCAGCTGCTTGCTTCGGCCTTTCCATATCTTGCAGCAGCAGCACGTACTGCTTCCCGAAAGGGAGGTACTGCTCCTCCACCTCCACTTTGGCTCTCAACAATGCCTTCACATCGTTGTACAATTTCCTGGCATGTGACATGCGCCACGCACACATGTGGCAGAATCGAAAACAGTTCCCTACGAGAGAAAGTATAAGTGCGAGCGGGGCACTTGAAGTTGCTCTCGGCGTTGGCCAGATCTTTCAGCAAGTCCTTGCCGTAGGGATTCGCTTCCATCTCCGTCTTCAGCTTGGCAGCCAACGTAGACCCAGCCAGGGCTTTCTTCGCCAGGTCCTCGCCCTTGTCGAGCACAGTCATGTTTTCCAGCGTCTTCTTCTTCGGCTTCTTGGGTGCTGGCGGATCTCGGGTATCCTTCTCTCCCGATGGCACACCCTTCGGATCGGCCGTCGCAGGCGTTGATGGCACCGAAGGCGAAGGCGAGGGAGCCGAGGACGATGACGGCTGTCCAAGCCGTCGTTTCAGAGCACTCGGTTCGGGCCGCCTCCGTAGCACATGTGCAAAAAAAACATGTGGTGCACAAATGCATTGGACCTGCAACCCTCACTAAATCTGGGTAGGTGGCATAAGATCTTTCAGAGCAGGCAAATCATCTCGATGAACATTCGTGCGGGCGCCCACGATCTGGCCTGAGATAACATGAAATAAGCTATGGGATTCTCGAGGGAGACTGATTGACGTCACAAACACACAATTAAAGGCACATGTCCAGCATGGGATCAGTCAGGCCAAGGAACGATCGATGTCGGAACTCCCCCAGTTCCTTCGAGAGGACACGGGCAGCAGCACTTTTAAGATGCAGCAGACCTACAGAACATGCATGAACAAAACTCTCAGACGTCGCATGATGTCATGTGGTCCTCTCTGTCTTGGAAAGGTAGAAGATCTTGGAGCCTCGGAGGTTTGGATCTTCGGCCCAATCTCCACTGGCTTCCTTCTCTTTCATGACATCTTTCGCCCGCTCTCCGTATTTCTGGATCAGTTCCAGCTCCGTGTAGGGAGCTGAATTCGTCAGCTCCTGGCTGCTGACCTCCTTCACGACTTGCCGCTCGTAGCTGCTGCACAGCTCCTGCAAGTCGCCCCCATGCTCTATGAGCTCACTGATCAAGTCCGAAACGGAGTCGTCATCCTCTTTTGCAAGCTTCTCTCTCAGGGAAGCGGGCAGGGCTTCCTGCCTTTTCGGATTCTTCCTCAGGCGATTCAGAAGCATCGCGCTCTGGCGTCTGTTGCACGCAGGCTTTTGCACCGGCGGCTCTTCGGAAGCCGGCTTCCGATCCACAGTTTTTTTTGCTTCTTCCTCTTTCTTCTCATCCTTCTTCTCATCCTTCTTCTCTTCACACGAGGGCTCCTCGGTTTTCTCCTCCTTCACTTTGGTCCATCCCAACTGTTTCTTCACTTCGTCCTCGTCATCCACTCTGGACCTCAGGGCCTGTGACTGCTGACGCAGCCGGGCGAGCTCATCCATTTTTTTCTTGTCCTCCGCTTGCTTGTCGAGCTGCTCCCTGACTTTCGCCATCGCTTCTTGCACAGTTTCTGAATCCATCTTGGACTGTAGATTCAGTTTTCGCTGAATTTCCTCCTGACGTGCTTGCTTCTCCGCTTTCAGTTGATCCAGCTCCAGCAGAAGTCGCTCCCGTTCGTCTTCGTATCTCTTCTCCTGTCAGTTTCTAGCCTAATGGTTTACAAGGTTTATAGGGGTTAGGGGTTATAAGGGTTTGGGGAGGTTCATAAGGGTTTAGGTTTAGGGGTTAGGGCGAGTTTTGGGAAGATCGGATCAGAGCGCACGTGTTGGGTTTAAATAAGTTAGGGTTTAGGGTTTCTAGGGTTTAGGGTTGTGGACATTTAAGGTTTAGGATTGATCGGCCTGGTCTAGTGGAGTCTCTTTGGCCTTTTCATTTTCTTTCTTGAGCCTGGCTTCCTCCTCCTCCTCCTCTTTTTTCCTGATCTCTTCTTGGGCCTTTTCTTCTGCCTCCTTGCGCCTGGTTTCCTCCTCCTCTTTTTTCCTGGTCTCATCCTTGGTGTTTTCTGGGCCCTCCTTGCACTTGACTTCCTGATCCTTCTGGAGCATCACGAGCTGCCGTTCCAAGTCATCCATCTCCTTCCGGAGTCTTTGTCTGGTGTTTTCTGCTTCCTCCTTCCGCCTGGCTTCCTCCTCCTCCTCCTCTGTTTTCCTGATCTCTTCTTGGGCCTTTTCTGCTTCCTCCTTCCGCTTGGCTTCCTCCTCCTCCTCTTTTTTCCTGATCTCTTCTTGGGCCTTTTCTTCTGCCTCCTTGCGCCTGGTTTCCTCCTCCTCCTTTTTCCTGATCTCATCTTTGGCCTTTTTTTCTTCCTCCTTGCGCCTGGCTTCCTCCTCCTCTTTTTTCCTAATCTCTTCTTCGGCCTTTTCCTTTGCTTCCTTCTTAAGCCTGAGGTTTTCCTGATCTTGCTTCATGATCTCTTCCCAGCGCCTGTTGTCTTCCTCCTCCTTTTTCTGCATCTCCTCCATTCTCTTCGTTTCTTCTTCCTTGCGTCTCTTGCATTCCTCCTCATCCTCCTCAGCTTTATTCATCCTCATGGATTCTTCCTTCTTACGCAGATCCTCCAACTGTCGTTCCAAAGCAGCTCTGCGTTGCATGAACTCCTCATCCTTAATCTTCTGTTCGTCTGCGATCCGTTTCGCTTCCTGCTCCTTGGTCCTGCGGATTTCCTCTTTCATCTTTTCTTCTTCTTTTGCCTTCCGCTTTGCATCCTCCTCTTTCTGGCGGATCTCCTCCTTCAGCCTTTCTTCTTCCTTCCGCCTGGCATCCTCCTCCTCTTTCTTGCGTATCTCTTCATTCAGCTCCTCTGCCTTCCGCATGGCTTCCTCCTTCTGTCGGATCTCCTCGTTCAGCCTTTCTTCTTCTGTCGGATCTCCTCGTTCAGCCTTTCTTCTTCTGCCTTCATCTTGGCTTCCTCCTCCTCTTTCTGGCGGATCTTCTCCTTCAGCATTTCTTCTTCCTTCCGCCTGGCTTCCTCCTCCTCTTTCTTGCGGATCTCCTTCAGCTCCTCTGCCTTTCGCATGGCTTCCTCCTTCTGTCGAATCTCCTCTTTCAGTTTTTTTTCTTCTGCCTCCATGGCTTCCTGCTTCTTCCGGATCTCATCCCTCAGGCGGTTTTCTTCTTCCCTACGCCTGCTTTCCTCCATCCCCATGCGGATCTCCTCGTTGAGCTCATCGCTGAGCCTTTGTGTTTCTTCCTTCCGCCTGGCTTCCTCCTCCTCCTTCTTTCGGATCTCCTCATTCAGCCTTTGTTCTTCCGCCTTCGCTGTGGCTTTCTCATCTTGTTCCTAGCAATGATTCAGGGCGAAAGTATGCGGGCGTTGGCACTTGCCACCCCGCACGGACGTACACTAGTCCTAGCAATGATTCAGGGCGAAAGTATGTGGGCGTTGGCACTTAGCCACCCCGCACGGACGTACACTAGTCCTAGCAACGATTCAGGGCGAAAGTATGCGGGCGTTGGCACTTGCCACCCCGCACGGACGTACACTTTAAGGGTGTTGGCACCTACGAACTGCAAATCCTACCTCCATTTGTTTCTTCAAGGAAACCACACGGTTCCGCAGGAATTCCTCTTCCTCCATTCGTCGCTTCTTTCTTGCCTCGACGGAAAGA